CTGGGTGTTCTCTGTCAGGGGCAGGCAGTCAGGCATCTCAGGAATCTGGCCCACCACTTTCAGTATCTTTTTTAAGCCTGGAAGCAATGGAGTGATACAGCTCGTTACAGGGGAGAGGGTCTGTGCAAAACTCAAGATACCATTTGTTGTTTTCTTGCCGTGAAATATCCAGCTTGGATGGTTCTCAATTATTTTGCAGCCTAATCACATAAATCTTAAACAGACAAGACATTTAGATATTCACTGGGGAGGAGCTTCTGCTGGTGAGATTACAGGTTTGCAGCATCAGGCTTTCTTCCAGCTCTCAGAGTGAGATAAGCAAAACTGCATTAGGTCTCTGGCTGGATCTGTTATTTTTGTCAGGAGGCTACTGACCTCCAAGGCTGGAGGCTTTGACTGAGGAAAACTCAGCAACTTTCAAGTGATTCTGGATGTCTTAACCCTCCTTTTGCTGAACTGTAATTAAATAACTTCCATCAGAATGGTAACATGCATTGGAATTAGTATAAAAACACACTGCACACAAATCCTTCACCCTTGCCCAGTTTTAGAACTGATCAGCTTGTGGATCCACCAAGCTCAGCAGGTGCTCATCTCATCCTGTCTAAACTAGACAATTTATCCAAGCCAAATCCTCCTAACATTAGCAAATACATTGGAAAAAACTAACCAGAGATGTTAGTCAACTCTTTAAAAACTCAAAAATTCTTGTTCTCATACACAGGGTTCTTTTTTTCTTAATACTGTTTCCCGTTAAAAAGTCTAACTTTGCTAGAGAGGATCAGTTCTACAGGGATGCAGGCAAGAACACACAGCTCCACACCTCCCAAATCAGAACAGGATGGTGGGGAAGGGCTCACCATTGTCGATGACAAAGATGGTCCTGCTGTTGTCATGGTCTTTCAGGTCCTTCCTCGGTATGTTCTTGTTGAGGAGGTTGAGAGCTCTGTCTCTCCCTTGCCCAGACACTCTCTTACTGACCAGCATATCCAGCAAACGCATTGTGATCATCTTCAAATCTTTCTTAGTATCTGCACAGAAGCAAAACAGTAGCAGCCAGTTACAAGAAATTCTCTCTGAAAGCAGCTGAACCCAGTGAAAACCACTCAAAGCCATCGTGTGGCTCTAACAGAGGTATTTAAGTTATGCATGAGGATAAGAGCTGTGTGCAGGCTGTCATCCTGGACAGCTGAAGGGTAAAGGCCCCACTTCACAAAAGAACAAGGAATAGGGTGGGCATCCCAGGAGCAGAGCTCTTCTGCTCAGCCCACTTCTCCTCCAGCAGGATGGAGGGATCCCCATGTGCTGTTACCTAACACGACAGCCTCCTCCTTGCCGTGGTGCTCCTCTTTGCCCTGGTCCAGCAGGCAGTCAATGATGGTCTGCAGGAGGTTGCAGACAGCCAGGGAGATTTCCTCGTTGTCTACTGACATCCACATACAAATGCTGTCGATGCCCAGGTAATGGAGAATGGCAGTGGCCTGGAGAGAGCAGGACAGTGTTAGCAAAGGCCTTTCCTTCCTGTGTGCTTCAGAAAGGTCAGGCTCAGCTGGGACAAAGAATCTATTTTCCTCAGTGATTCCTGAGTCAGTACAAGGCAGAATTTTAATTTTTTTCCCACTGCTCACAAACATACTGCAATTTCCCACTCCCCCAGGTGCAAGGCAACAGCAGTGAAGGTCCCAAGCATCCTGTTCTTACCCGAGCCTTATGTCCCGTGCACATTCCCGAAAGTGTCCTCACAGCTGCCAGGATCAGCTCAGGATTTTTGGTTTCTATCAGCTGCAGCAGCAAGTTGACCCCATTATTCTGGAAAATCCTCTCAGCACCTGCTTCCTCCCGCCCCAGGACTATGAGGTTGTTTGCAGCCTGGGTGGGAGACAGAAGAGCCAGGGGTCAGTGGCACACCCAGGCCTCCAGAACATCTCCAGGCAGCTCTGGGAGGTCCTGGTGGGAGCTGTGGATTGCCCATCTCCTGACAGATGCAGCAGACCAGCTCAGATCCCCCAGACAGTTTATCCAGGTGCGTTTGGGATCCCTTCACTCTGCCCAAGAAGAGTGGATCACTGCTTGGAGTGGAACATTTAGAGGGTGGCAGAGATGGACCTGAGCAGAAGTCCAGTGTGATCCCACCTTTGATATTTTGGGAGGCTTGGCTGCTTTCCCTTGGTGTAGGGATGATGCCTCACTGGGACATTTCCCCTCTCAGCTGTCCCTCTGAGTGCAGTTCATTTCCCAGTTCCTTCCCTCATCCTCCATCCAGGGCAGGTGGGGAAAGGAACTCTGTTCTGCTCCTTGGTGCAGCCTCTGACATTAAACAGCCATTTTGCCAAGTGCAGAGCAGTTCTCACCTTTTCTCGCTTTTCTTTCTCGCTGTTCTCATCCAGCAGGATTTCAAACATCTTCTGCACCCTCGAGTCCGTGGAGAACTGAATGCGCAGCTGTGCCAAGGGAGAGAGGGCAGGGAGCATCACAGGGAGAAAACTGAGGAGCAATATTCCTTTTTTTGCTTCGAGAACACCCCAGACCCTCAAACCATAGACAATTTAAGCTGAATAACAAAACAGGTATCGCTTCTCAGCTATCAGCACCCATTACCCACCTCAGACTCATGGGAATGGACAGGACAGCTCTAAATCATTATTTCACAGTACCTACTGATGCAAGGGCTTCTTCACAGCAGCTCTGTAAAGGTAACTTTGTCAATGTGGCAATTGCCAAACCCAGTCCAAAGCTGGCCCAAATCCCTGCCAGGACCCTTTTAAGACACTCAGGAGCAGGCCAGCCTCTGGAGGGAGCTGCCACACTTTTTAATTCAAACCAGTCCTCAGATTTATACACATCAAGTATGAACTTCCAGTTAATGGAGCCTATTTATCCCCCTGCATCATTACAAGTTTCCAGTATGACCAACCATCCCTTGGCATAACCCAGAGCAAGGACTTCCCACACCTGGCCTGTGAATCCAGGACTGCTCCTCCAGCATTTACCTTCTCCTGGATGTTGGCCCCCAGCCGCCTCAGGGTCTCCTGGAAGTTCTTGTTGCGGGGTTCGATGGTGGCACATTTCTGAGCATCTTTGAACGCCTGGTCCAGTTTCCCCAGTTTTTCCAGAGCTTGGCTGCGCCGGTACAAGGCTTTGATATCCGAAGCATTGATGTCAATAGCTGGGAAAGTGATCCAAAACACCAGGCATCAGTTTGCTGCTTGGGAATGGTCTGTGTAAACTGGGGTTTGCTTTGTTATTAACACCGTACGTGAATTGGTGCCTGATTAGCACCGACTGCACCGTCCCACCGAATTGGTACGTTGTCTTTTGAACCTCCAGTAATTCCCTTGTGGCCTCAGCACCTGGGTGTTACTGGACATCAAGGGATAAGGCCACAGTGTCCCAAAAGTAGATGTGAGAGTAGGCTGAGCACATGTACCCAGCAATACAGCTCTCCTTTCTCAAAAGAGCCCCCTCCTCACCTCTAGATGCATCCGAGGCTGCCTTGGCGTATTCCTCCTGTTAAACCAGAAAGGAGAGAGTTGTTAGGCATGGAATAGCAGGGCATGTCCCCATTCCTGATGGACACTGGCCCCTCTGTTCCCAGTTCCTAACAGGACATCCCAGTGAAGCCAGCAGCAGCCCAGGGAAGGGAAAGGGAGTTGAGGTGCTTTTGCATCAGTGATGGAAGCGAAGGGGTGTGTGGTGCAGGTGAAACAACACACTTGGCTGAGGATGCAGCAGGACAGTGGGCAGTGAAGGAAGAGGGAATGCTCACAACAGCCTTGGTCTGTGTTGGTGTCACTTCTGGATTAGTGAAAATTCAGGAACATGCAAGCAATCTGCTCAGTTCCCACAACAGGCCGCTACAAGCTGAGACAATTTTGGTACAGATAGCAATAACTTTTTGTTTTACTAAATATCTTCACCTGCTTTTCTTATACTGGGACAGACTGCAAAAGCAATCCCAAGCTATGGCTTACAGAGCTCTTTGGTAAGCGTGGAGCAGCCTGGATGCCAAAAGCCTTTGCTTCAAAGTGATTAGTGGGACCATCTCTGAGCTGAACCTGCATGCTGAGCCCCATCAGGATGGAAGCAAGGAGGAGGCTTTACAGCTCTAGCACAAGCCCAGAACGTGTAATTTCAGACCAGTTTGCAAACACCCTATTCAATAAATAGACAAACCACACAGTCCACAACTGGTGAGCCTCCCTGCTCTTCTCCCCTTGAGCACTGCCCAGCAGAACTGGGAGCTTTTCTCACCTTTTTGAGGAAGCAGGCTGCCCTGTTCCTGTACAGCACCGCCTGCAGCGCCTTGTCCTTGTTGAGCTTTAAGGCTTGAGTGTAGCTTTGAAGGGCTTTCTCGTAATCATTGGCCTGAAAATATTTATTGCCCTCCTCCTTCAGCTGGATGGGATCCTCCATCTGGAGAGCTCTAAGGAAGAACATCAATTTGGGTCCCATTTTCAACTGCCTGTGTCACCCGAGGTCGCCTGCCTACTGCCCCAAGCTGAGTTTCACCACGAGACTGACATATAATTAACACACACATTAATAAAAGCAGCTTACCAGACTGAAGAGTTCTGAAAATTAAGACCTAAATTGCTCCTCCAGGCTGTGACTTCTCAGAAGCTTTTCCCACTGCTGTAAGTCCTTAGGAGTCAATTAATACAGGAAAGAAAAGCAACAACAGAAAAAGGAATTGAAGAAGTCTGCCAGCACTACGGAGAGTCCGTGGGGCTCAGGAAAGAGCTTGCTTCCCACTCCAAGTTTGGGCAGGAGCTGGCAGCTCCTGCTGTCTGTCAGCATCACCTGTCACCACAGCCTGTCCCCTCCTTGTCCCCCTGTGCTATATATGCCTGTGGAGGGCTGGGAACCAGGGCCAGCTCGGGGGGGCACCTGCCTGCACGTGGGCAGCACCTCTGCAGCAAGAGGGGATCCTCTCCCACCTGCCAGGGCAAATCCCAGCTTCCCTCTGCCTGCAGAGCTGCACAGGGTGTGGGGGGCAGGAACAGGGGGGTTTCATGCCAAAAAAGCCCCCGGCTGGGATGGCTGACCCCCGTCACAGTGCTCAGACCCTTTTCCCTTTCTATTTAGGGAAGCATGAGACAGCTGAGCCTCGGGGACAAGCGGCCCCACGCCAGCAGCTGCAGCAGCGCCCAGCACCTTCCAGAACTCCCGGGATGGAAAGCTGACTGACACCCAGTGCTGCTTGCTCCTTCTCACAGGGCCTTTGGGAGCCCATCCCACCGAAAATCTCACCCGCTGCCACCTCCCCTTTTTCAGCAGCCCATTGTCACAGACTGGAACACACACTGTACTGGAACTTACTGGCCCACTGCTGTGATGAGTGGCTCAGGGCTCAATTTGAGTGACACCAGTGGCCGGAGCAGCACTGAGCTCCAAAAGAGCTGAGCCTTTCAACACACCCTGTTTCCCAGGAGTCACACTCAATCAGGAATTCTGCTTTGGGACTTATCTCCCCCAAAACACAGGCCTTGCCTTCCTGAGTGTCCCCACCAGCATCCCAACTGTAAATCAAATGGGGGAACTGGCAGAAGGATGGGGAGAGCACGGGCTCATCACAGAGACACTGCCAAGAGGAAAAATATCATTGTCTTTAATTCCGTGATCTGTGTTGTGGTTTGTGGATCTTACACAGCAAGAATTGGCACAGGACTGCCCTGCCAGGTCTCCTATTTTATTCACCTGGCACCAGCGACACTGCTTGGCCCCTGGAACCCAGGCAGGAGGCGATTCCAAAGGAATTTGGAAATCCCTTCACAGCACATCACCTGCACTGCAGCTGCAGGCACTGCATCAAGGGCAGCTCACACACCTTCACCGCTGCAGGGGTATGTCCAAGGCACAAGGACAGCAGCTGTGGAAGGTGCAAGAGGCCATCCCTGCCTTGGATAGGCTCAGTCCAGTGGCTTTTCTAGGATTCACATGGATCAACACACCAGAAACCCATTCCCATGTGGCTTTAGGTACCAGGGAAGGCTCATCTGGCTTCATTTCAGTACTCCTGGGATACAGCACAGCCTTTCTCACATCAGCCAGAATAATAATTCATTGTCAGAAGCAGCAGCACAGCAGGTACTGCAGGTAAACTGAGTTACAAAATTAAATGTTTGATGCTGCTCATGCTCAGGGCAGAGCTGAGAATGCAGGGTGAGCAGGACAGGCTCAGCAGTGAGTGCCGGGAGCCCTCTTCAGGCCTCGGCTGGGAAAGAAAAAATAATAATAATTAAAAAAAAAAAAAAAAAAAAAGGCTTTTCCAGGTGAAATTCAAGCCCCGGGCAGCCAGGGAAGGGCACACGGCTCCCCACACCCGCAGGGCTGTGAAGACCCCCCGCCCTCCTTGCTCCTTCATTTTCCACCCTGCATCACTGGGTGATGAGCCTGGCCAGACCCAGCCCTCGGAAAATCACAGAATCCCGGAATGATTTCACTGTAGGACCCCGGGCTCTGCTGGCCCAGGCGGAGGAGCCGGGTGAGGGAACCCCGAGAGGGCTGGGAGGGGTGTGAGCGGGCACAGGAGCCGTCCCGGCCCTTCCGCCGGCGGCAGGAAGCAGGAAGGGAGCGGGCAGGGCAGGACAGGGCAGGGATACCCCGCTGCGGGGCTTCGGGGTGCGCGGGGCGGGAGGGTGGGCTGGGACACTCATCGAGGGGCTCTGCTGGAGAGGGATGAGGATGGGGATGGGGAGGATACTCCCGTCCGGGGATGGGGCTCCCCCCGCCCGCTGTGCCCTCCCCGAGCAGGAGCCGCTGGCTCAGCCGCGGCGATGCTCCCGTGCGAGATTTGGGGATGGCTGACCCTAAAAGGACCCTAAACACCCACCGTAACCACCCGTCCCAGACACAGCCTGGGTGGCTTCTCCCCAGCTCCAGAGGCAGGCACCATCCAGGGCAGGACATGGCTCAGTGTTGGACTTGATAATCTTAGATGTCTTTTCCAACCTTAATGATTCCATGAAATCCACTCTCCTCCGCAGGTCTCTCCCGCCCCCGTGGCTGTGGACATGGTTGTCCTGCGGGCTGGGCTCTGCCCTGGTCTCACCGAAGAGATGATCCAGCTGCTCAGGGCGAATGGCATCAGGACAGGTAATGGGGTAGCATCGGGGCCTCGGGTTGGGAGAGGGCACACCAAACTGCACATTTGGTGTGCCCACATCATCTCACGTCCTGGAAGGGTGCTGTTGGTGGAATATCCCTCCATGTCCTCCTTGCTGAATGTCTTCTGGGTCCCCCTGGGTGGATATAATGATTCAGGAGAGTGTAAGGACAAAGTAGAGATCTCTGCAAAAGCTTTTTGAGGGTTGATCTATTATGGCTTTTCAAAGGTATTTTGGGAGGATTTGTGCAGTTTTCCCTCTGACAAAAGGCCAGGTTCCTCCCACGCTGCACCCTGGGCACCTCCTGCCCTTAGAGGGGAAGCAAAAGGTGGTGCTGGGCAGCTCTTGAGCAAAAGAGGGAGAATTTTTACCAGCTGCTCTCCCTGATCTGGTTTGCAAAAAAAAAATTGGTTTGGGAAGGGGGAACGGGCCGTCTCAGAGAAAAAACTCAAATGTGGGATATCCTGCTCCTCCACTTGCAGTCTTGGCAGAGGACACAGACACTTCCAGTGTTCGTGGTCTGACCAGGTTTGGCTTCCAACCTCTTGTCCCTCATGTTGTTTGCAGTGGTGGACTTTGTGTCGTCAGACCTGGAGGATGTTGCCCAGAAGTGTTCCCTGTCTTACAAGGTAAAGAGGACTCCTAAGTCCTGGTACATTAATCAGGGATCTCAGAGCTGATCCCCTCATGGCTTGGATGGCCTTGTCTAGGGGAAGCTTCTGCAGCAGGTGCTGGCCCTGGACTTGCTCAGTCCTGTTTCCAGGCACCTCTCTGTCCCCCAGGCGCTGGTTGCAGTGAGACGTGTGCTCCTGGCCCAGTTCTCTGCCTTCCCTGCCAACGGAGCAGACCTGTACGAGGAGCTCAAGAGCTCCACAGCCATCCTGCCCACTGGGAACCCAAGGTGGGTACATCACCCATCTGCCCAGGGCTGGACTTGCTGCACAAGGCCCTGGTTGCCAGCACAGACTTTGAGTTCCAGTGTGGTGATGCCCTGAGCAGGGTTGGTGGTGTCCACGCCATGCCCAGGGGCTTGTCTGCGTTTGGGAAGGGGACTCTAGGGACAAGTGTCTGGGCACTGCTGCTTCCTGATGCCCCTGCCATTCTGGCTGAAGGGGTGTTGATAATCCCACCTTGTGTTCAACCCGTAGCCTGGACCAACTGCTGGACTCTGGGCTGTACACGGGGGAAGTGACGGAGCTCATGGGAGCACCAGGCAGTGGGAAGACGCAGGTGAGTGGGATGGAGGAGCGGGGAGAGGACAGGTGGGGTGAAGATGATGCCTGGCTGACATGTCCCTGTCCCTCCAGGTGTGTCTGGGCATTGCAGCCAGTGTGTCTCTCAGCCTCAAGCAGCACGTCCTGTTTCTCGACTCCACGGGGGGTTTCATTGCCTCCCGTCTCTACCAGATGCTGCAAGCACAGACAGAGGATGAGGAAGAGCAGGCAAGTTCCCCTGGAGCTGGTCCCTCTGTTGGCACTAAAACTGCCTTTGCTCTTGCCTGCAGACAACGCCCAGGGGCGGTTTGTCTGCCCAGCTCTGCCTTGTCCTCATGGGCTTTTTTGGGTCCAGACTCTTCCTCCCGTGGCCCAGTGGGTGCCGTGCTCAGGACAGACACTGCTCTTTGTTGTTTATCTTGGGAGACGGGGAGGACTTGCTGTAGTTGCACATACTTTTGCTCCCTGAGCTCAATCCAGGTTACTTCTATCAGTGGAATAGGGACAATGGTGTTCATGGGGTGGAGGCAAATGTGGAAGAATAAGTGCTCTGTGTCGTGGTGTGAATGCAAAGAGCTGGTGGCAGCTGGGGCAGAGGGAATATGGCAAGTCCTGGAGGGGGTGAGGCCGTGGGTGATGCCACTCTGTGCCACAGCTGGAGGCTCTGCAGCGGATCCAGGTGGCCCGTGTGTTTGATGTCTATGAAGTGCTGAGTGCCTTGCAGGAGCTGCGGGATCGCCTCTCCCAGCAGGTACGAGGGGGACTCTGGGCCCCTCTCCCCTCCCCAGAGCTGCAGGGAGGGCTGCAGGGTGTGGCTGGCAAGTGACTCCAGATCACCTCGTCCTGGGTGCATTTGAGCCTCTGTGCAGCTCACAACCTCCCAGACTGCTGGATTTGCAACTCCACATTGCACATGGTCCCTCTTTTCAGGTCATGAGCTCCACGGGGCCTCTCAAGATTGTGGTGATCGACTCGGTGTCGGCTGTGATTTACCCACTGCTGGGTGGCAGGCAGTCAGAGGGTGAGCTGTGTCCTTAGGGTGTGCCAGGAGGCTGCAGAGCTCTCTGCTTGTCCTGAAGGGCATCTTCCTCCCAGGTGTGCTGTGCCTGGAGGTGGGGCTGGGACAGGTTGGATGGGAATGTGACTGCTCCCATCTTTGGGACTGGATAAAGGGGGAGTCAGTTGGCAGTGTTGTCAGCAAACACTCAAACTGGTTGTGGCTGTGGATCATGGCAGTGGTTTGAAACCTGTCCAGGGGACAGGGGAGGCACTGAACCGTTTGTCCATATGTTAAAACTTCTACTTGCAGTGTCACAGATACATCACAGTTGCTGGCACAGTTTGCGGAGCTCTCCAGAGGCTCCTTCTGCCAGAAGGGACTTTAAATCAGAAGTGAGGGGCCTCAAACACCTTCCCGAGGGACTTGCACACCTGGATGGCAACTAGTGCTATCACAGGCAGTCCCCTCACAGCCACAAGTGTAGGAAATGAAGCTGTGAGCTGGAGAGATGGGTCCTGTACCTGCTAAATCAACCTGGCCAGCTTTGTCTGAGCCCCTGGTGCTTTCGTAGGGCTTTTTTGGCCTTGGGGCTTCTAACACAGAAAAGGAGGGGGATTGGTCTGGTGAAGATGTCCATGAACACCAGCACTGGCACTAAATCCAGTGCTCATGCAAATCTAGATGTGGGTCCCACTTTGTAGGTCAATCCCCAAACACCCAAGTGCTTTGTCCTCCTCCAGGTCTGGCTATCATGATGCAGCTGTCCAGGGAGCTGAAGACACTGGCCAGGGAGTTCAGCCTTGCTGTTGTGGTGAGTGTTGCTGCGCTTTGTCCTTCGTGTGTTGGTGTGTGCCCTGAGCCATGGAGAGGCTTTGGAGCCCCTGGGAGAGGGCAGCCCACTCCCAGCTAAGCAGGAGCAAGAGGTTTGTACCCCACAGTGCTCTGCTCCCTGATGTAGCTCTGTGTCTCTGCAGCCCACAGATGTCTTATTTCAGTGACTGTGGAGCAAGACCAGGGCTGGTTTGCTGGCTCCTGCTATTGCTGTGCTCAGCCAACACGGCATTCTCTGCTTTGAGCAAGGCAGGGAGATTGAAAGGTTGTTTGTGTTTATTTTTGATATAACACCGTTCATTTAAGGGGCTGGCCAGCCTCCTGGGTAATCTCTTAACTACCCTGGAGGAGCTGCAGGGCATTGCATCATCCTAAGGGAGCTGGGGACTGGAAGGGGCCCTGCTCCAGTTTCCCCAGCTCTTGGCCAAGCAATTGCATTTGCCAATGCAGCCAGACAGGTTACTGGGACCATAATTTGTGTGTCTGAACTGGGAAGGCCACAACAGAGAGTGGTGGTCTGCTGAGCCTGGCACTGGAAGGCACCAAGAAAGTCCTGCCCTTTGTTCTGATAAAGCAACAAGGAGGTGCCTGGAAGGACATTTGGAGGCTCCAAGTTAAACCCTCTGGGTGGCTTCAGCACCAGGAGTGATGCAGCTTGCAGATCCAAGCGAGCTCCTACCCGAGTACCTGTCTGGGCCACTTGTCTGGGCTGTGTTTAGAGGGGATGGCACAGCTGTGCCAAGAAGGAGGGCTCAGACTGGCCGTGATCTCCAGTGTTTCATTGCACCGAGTGGCACTGCTTTTCCCGGGCACTGATAAGCCTGTTTGTGCTGCAGGTGACCAACCAGGTGACAAGGGACAGCAGCACTGGCCCACTCAAGCCAGCCCTTGGCCGCTCCTGGAGCTTCGTGCCCAGCACTCGGGTGCTGCTGGAGAGCAAAGAAGCCTCCTGGGACAAAGGCACGACACGGCGCGTGGCTGCCCTGGCGAAGTCACCCCGCCAGGTGAGGCTCCCTGGGCTGGGAACAGAGGAGCAGCTGTGGGACTCGGCCCTGATTTTGGAGCAGAGGGTCAGGCAGGATCCAGCCTCACTGGGTGAGCCATGGTGGTGGGAGAGGAGCTCCTGCAGCCTGCCTGTACACCGTGGAAGAGAGGAGCGTCCCAACAGCCTGAGCTTGTATTTGTGGGCAGGTTAAATGAGTGGCACCACTTCCAGTGCAGGTCACTGTGTTCCTCATGCTTGTCTCGCTCTCCTGGTGGTGTGTGGGTCCCATGGAAATGGCTCCTACACCTGCAGAGGGGACTTTGGCTTGACTCCTGCCTATGTACAGGCAGCATTGCCTAAGCCTCCCAGCTCCAAGCCTCCTCTGCTGCCTGATCCAAACGGGTTTGGATGTGGTGGTGTGCTGGGCAGCGAAATCCATCCTGGATGTGCTAAATAATGGTGTGTCTGGGGATGCTTCAGAGCAATATGTTCTTTCTTTGCTAAATTGCATTGTCTATTTGTATCTCTGGGTTCATCAGACCAAGTTAAAACGGGGGCACCAGCAGAAAGAAATCCTCAGGGGGATATAACTGGGGATTTCTGGCTCTGGGGCAGGTGGTGGAGTGATGTAGAGTCCCAGCAGTGTGAGGTTAAGCTTCTTTCTGTTTCTCCTTGCAGCCAACAGGGTTACAGGTGGAGCTGGACATTGGAAATGGTGATATGCCAGAGCCGAGCCCTGTGACACCCACACAGGGGCTCTGATGTGATGGAAAAGCAAACATCAAGGTCCAAGAGAGCTGCACAAAAGCAGGCAAGCACACTGAAGGTTTTACAGACCGACTCTGAGGGTCCTACAGCCCTGGACCAACATGAAGAACCTCTTGTTCTTCAGCCTGGGGGGAGAAACTGAGCGTGGGGTTCCCCAGAGATCTCCCTGCTCAGCAGGCGCTGCCTGCAGTGGCTGGGCCGTGTGGGCAGCACAACAGCCAGCTCCTGTCCTCTGCTGCAGGCTTGTCTTCACCCTGCAGAGCCAGCCCTGTCCTCAGGTGTTGGCTGGGGACCAGCTGGCTTGTCCCTGCACAAACCCACGACTCCCTGTGGTGGTTTTGTTCCCCCCATGACTCGCTGCCCTCTGGACCTGGAGCTCCGATTGTCCTTGGGCAGCTCACAGTGGTCTTGGTTCAGAAATAAAAGGAAAAAGCTGTTGCACACTGTGGTTGTTGAGAGCTGGAATTCAATTAAAGGTGACTGCTGGGAACTTAATTAAAATGTTGAGGGTTAGTCCTTAGCAGGACTGGGTTGGGACAGGCTGGAGTGGGACAGACTGAGATGGGAGAGGCTGCTGATGAGCAGGGACATAATCAAGTGCTTGCTCTGACCTCCCCAGAGTAACACCAGGCCCTGTGGGGAGCTGCTGGTGTTTTTGGGGCAATGCTGTGCTGCATAAAGACTTGCTGATAACTGATGGAAGTTCTGGTCTGGATCAGCTGGGGCTGATGAGTCCTGGCTGACACCAGCTGGCCCTGCCTGATGCTCAAGGACCTCTTCAGTTGCATGTGGTGATGTTTGAAATAATCTCTCCTTCCTCTCCAGCGCTTTCCAGCTGCTCTTGCCTGCTCTGGGTGACCTCCTGGGCAGTTATGTGGTGCTGGGGAGGAGACAGGAGGCTGAGATGTGATCCCAGATGTCTCAGACACCCTCATCCTCTGCATAATAAGAGACCTCCCTGGCAGGTGAGCTGAGCCATGGTTGTACTTCAAGGCTGCTGATGTTGAATTTGGGGGCTGGAACTAATTCAAGGCATGCTCATTAAACTAATAACACAGCAGCACAGCTCCTGGAGTCTTCTAAGGCTGTACTGGGCAAAGAGGAGTTTGATTTAGCCAGAATTTGTGTCTCCAGAGTAGACATTAACAGTGTACAGCCCTGTATTCCTGAGCAAATAGCTGCTGTGGGGAAGGGGTGGTTGAAAGGGATATGTGAACACACATTTTGGTTTCCCAAGAGGCAGCACCAGGTCTCAGCGTGGATTTTTGTTTGAAACATCTGTCAGAGTTGTGTTTTCTGTGAAACTCAGCTCTTGGTGCTCCCAGGGCTGTGGTTTAGGGGGCAGGTCCCACCTCCTCCATCGTGGCCACCCAGCTCCGTGTGCGTGGCCGTGGGAAAGGCCATGATCCCAGCAGGTCCTGCTGAGCAGGGGAACGTGCCAAAGCAACATGAGCTGAGCCATTAAATACATGATTTTTACTGAAAACTTTTTAAAGTCGTGTATTTATTTGTGTTTCTGGGCCTTCCAAGCCCAGGAGGGGAGGTTTGGCCCCAGGGATTGCAGCCTGGCTGGAGGATGGTTTTCCTGTGCTCATGTGGCTGGTCCTTACAAGCAGAAATTTAGCTTGGTGCATCTCTCGGAGCTGTGAATAAAGAGCTGGTGCATGCAAATTTCAACCAAAACTCTGTGCTACTATTTTATCTCTCTGTCTGTGGTTATTTAGGGGAAGCAAAGCTCCCAGGGTGGGGAGTGTGAAGCAGAGAAGAGCCAAATAGAAACCTCTTGGGTTGTATTTGAATGAAGAGGGCTTTCTGGATGTTTCTTTCCCCTAACTAGCAGGGGGATGAGAAGAGGAACAACCTACTTTGAACCCTCACCAGGCTCAGCATGAGACCAGCCGTGTGCCCAGTGTGCATCTTTCCTGTGACCCCTGAGACATGACAGAAGAAAGTCTGCTCTTGCACTCAGTCACTGGGGAGTCATGGGGTGTTGATTCAACAGGGACATGGCCAGCCTGTCTGGAAAGGTGAGGATGTGAAGTCTGGGCTCCTCCAAAGCTTCCCATCCCAGCTTTCATAGGCATAGTCATGACCAGGGGGGGTTTTCTCTCCTTAGCAATCAGCTAATTGCAGCTGTGGGAGTTTTATGCTCTCTTGGGAAACAGCTGGATAGGTGGGGGAGGACGGTGAGAGATGAGGCCTGGCTGAGTTTCGTGTGGCAGCTCCTCCTTTCCCTGTGCTGCCGAGGTCACAGGGATGTCCTGAATTTCTGGCTGCGTTGCTGCTGTGGGTGCTGGTTATTGCTTGGTGTGGGGACACCAGAAGGGCTCAGGTTATGGCAATCTATTGCCTGATCTGGAAAAACCTGACTTCTTACTCAAGCTCATTTGCCCTAAATTTGCGTAGTAAAATTAGGCCAAAAAGAGTTCCTGACCTCAATATCCTAATTCAGCCTTTCTCCTCCATGCTCAGACAGGCACTTCTGCAGCCCTGTAAGGCAGAGCTCGGGATGTCCCCACTCCCTGCCCCTTCCCCTTGCTTAAAACAGCTGGAGAAGCACTGGAAAGGCTTGGAGCAGGGCAGTGAAACCCATCCAGGGCAGACAGGGCACCTCTCACCCCAAGCAGCAGGGATGCCTTTTGGCACTAAGGGCTTATTTGCCTTTGATATGTATAAAACACGCACATAAGTGTGTGTTTATATGTACTGTGTGCATATTTGTGTCTGTGTACATGTCTCTGTCTATCTGGCTGTCTCTGTATGGGTGTATCCTCAAGATGAGAGGACATGGTCTCAACCTGCGACAGGGGAGGTTCAGGTTGGACATTAGGAGGAATTTCTTCTCAGGAAGCGTAATAAGACATTGGGATGGGCTGCCCAGGGAGGTGGTGGAGTCACCTTTGTGTTTAAGGACAGACGTGGCACTCAGTGCCATGTTCTGCTTGACAAGGTGGTGGTGGATCATAGGTTGGACTTGATGGTCTTTTCCAACCCGATTGATTCAGTGATCTGTCGGTATACATCCCCTTCCCGTGCAACGCGGTCAAGCCCCGTGCGCGCCGCAGGGGCACCCCCGAAACACAGGAGACCCCCCCAGTGTCCCCTCCTTTTCCCACGTGTCCCGCCCGGGTCTCGAACACGCGGCCCCCGGAGCCGCCGCGCCGCGCGCTGCCCTCCCGGCCGGCGGGGGGCGCCGCCGAGTCCTCCGGGCCGCCAGGGGCGGTGCTGCCCCGCCCGGCCCATGGCGGCCGCTCCGCCCGCCCGGCCCCGCGGGCAGTTGCCATAGCGCCGCCGCCGCTGAGCGCAGGGACCGGCACCGGGATCGGGATTGGGATCAGGGTTGGGATCGGAACCGTCTGCCCCAGGCCCGGCCTGGCCCGGCCCGGCCTCACCGCCCGCCCGGGACGCGGCTCTGCGGGAGGCAGGTGAGGCGGTTGGGGCGCTGCCGGTGTTTGGGGGGGGTGGTATGTGGGGCACTGAGGGGCTGTCAGGTTTGGGGGGTGTGTGTGTGTATGTTTGTGTTTGTGTTTGTGTGAGGCTTTGAGAGGACTGCCATGATCTGGAGGTTGGGGTTTGGGGAGGCTGCCAAGGTTTGGGGGTGTGGGGGGTAGTGGGGCAGTGAGGGGGCTGCCAGCGTGTGTGTAGGTGTGTGAGGGTTTGGGGAGAGCTGCCAGGGTTTGGGGGGGGAATATGTATGTGAGGGTTTGGGGAGAGCTGCCAGGGTTTGGGGGGGGGGAATATGTGTGTGAGGGTTTGGGGGGGCTGCCAGGGTTTGGAGAGGAATATGTATGTGAAGGTTGGAGGAGCTGCCAGGGTTTGGGGGGGGAATATGTGTGTGAGGGTTTGGGGGGGCTGCCAGGGTTTGGGGGGGGAATATGTGTGTGAAGGTTGGGGGAGCTGCCAGGTTTGGAGGTGTGGGGCAGTGGAGGATTGTCAGGGTTTGGGGGTGTGGGGCAGGGTGGGGCTGTCAGGGTAGGGAGGGTGCACAGGGCAAAGGGTAGGGCCATGAGGCAGTGGAGTTGCCCCTGGGGGTTATCCAGGGGCTGTGGGGTGAGGGAATGGCTCTGGATTGGGCTGTTGGCAAGTGTGGGGGGACATGGGGCAGGGGGGGCTGCCAGGACTTGGGGGGCCATGAGGCAGGGGGAATGAGGATGCTCAAGCCTGGACAGGTGAGTGGGGCAGGGAGAGGCTGCAGCACGTGGGTTTAGTTTTGGGGAAAGGTTGTAGCACCTGGGTTTAGTTTTGGGGAGATGGGGTAAAGGGCCTCCCTCACAGGGAGCGCTTCCAGGGTTTCCCTAACGAAGGCGAGTGGGACTCTGGTGCAGCCTCTTTTTTCTTGTTTAAAAAGTGGCATTGAGCAACTCGTCCCTTTTCTGAGTTGTGCTCCCAAGGGCACACCAAGAGGTGTTTAGTAGGTTGTTCTGCTCAAATCGTTATGAGAGCTGAGGAATTCTGGTTAATCACCAGCCTTCTGTAGAGCTCTTTGTGTAAATTGTTGTCTCTCTGCATCTTAGCATGTCTAAGGTGTAATTTGGTGTCAAGGACCCAAGTTATTTTCTTCTCTGCTCACTTTTTGCTCAAAGCTGGGGGAGGTACAGCAAAGTGAAAGCCGAGCAAGCCCTTCCTTTGCCACAGAGAGCAAAAGGAGTTCAGAAAATAAAAGTACTCGAGCGTCCTTCAGAGCAGTTTGTTCCTGTAAGCAGGTCAAGGTGTTTCCTGTGGGGAAAGTATTGACTCATCCTCCCATCGGTTTCTTACCAGTGTTTCAGTGAGTGCAGGTTAATAAAGGTCAGCTCTGCAGTGAGAACATGCACACGGTCCTGTCTGAGCCTCCTCACATCAGGGACTTGACAAAAAGGCTGAGGATGGACAGTGTGATAAATAACCAGCTGCACTCCAGAGTTTCTCGTGTTTTCAGACACTGCAAGGACAGCCAGGTGTACTTAGGTACTGTGGAGCCAAGTATAACACTAAGGGCAGATAGCAGTGGGTTAGTTTTATGGCTCTTTGATTAAGCTGTCCCCAGGGTAATGTTTAGTTGGGTGAGGCAGGAGGAGTTTATTTCTGTTTCGTTTGAGCTCACTTCCTGTTCTCTGACACGCAGCGAGTCCTCCGTGGGGAGCACGGGACGTGGTCTTGGGTTTGGAGAACTGTTTCACAGCAGGGGAGGGACTTGTGGTAGCTTTCTGTTCTTTCTAACCCGGTTATGGAATTGGTAGAGCACTTAATGGATCTACAAAAAGCTTTGCTAGCTCTCCATGCCATCAGGATGTGGAATGACAGGTGCATTACAAGTTGGCATTTCATTGTGTTCACACTGTAGTGGGTTGCATTTCAAAACTCCGAAGCTCACATTTTAAGATAAATGATCATTTAGGCATATACATGATTACATAAACAAAGAGTTTTAACCCTTTGTCTTTTCACTGTGAGCTTGTTTTTCCAGAGCTGAGGAGTGGAGCAAAAAGCTGTGAGCTTTAAATGTTTCTTACAAATTCCAGATCCTTGGATTTCCCTGTCTCCACTCATCCAATACTGAATCTCCTTAACACATGTGTCCACAGTGATGGGGAGGGGGGTCTTGTAGTCATTCTTTGTAATCATAATTGCTTTTGGTGGCACAGTTAGGTTTAATGAAACCACACAATCACCTTGGGCTGTTGTGTTTCCCATTCTGGGCAGTTCTCTCTGGTGCTGGGAATCCTGGAGCAAAGTTACCCGTCTCCACCTGTATCTGCAGATCCACTCAGCTGTAGCAACTGAACTTTTAATGAAAAGCTGATTGCCTTGACAGTGGTGTTCATGGCTTAATGCTTAATTGCTCAAGTTTTTGCTGAATTGGGTTAGTTTTAAAGCCATCATTTAAGTATTGTGTTTAATTGTAGAGTAGGAAATGTAGGCTGGCTTTCAGTCTTTCTCACTGGCAGGTACATGTGATTGGGCTCCTAAAATGAGACCTGAATGCAATACTCTGCAAGGAATAATATAGATTATTTTTTTGGGGGGGATTGGTGCTCACTAGTTGTGTTTATGACTGAAATCTGCCTTCTTTTCTTCAGGCCTTCAGTTTTCTCTTTATTGTGGTTGACTTCAGTGTGGGTTTGTGTTGTTTTATTTGCTTGTTTGTTTGTTGAATCGTGTAATTTTCACTTGCTGTTGTGCAACTTCGTGCCATGTTTGTTGTTAATAACAGCTGAGATTGTAAACTCTTCAGTCAGGCTGGGGCATGATTTGAGCTGACCTCCTAGTTCTGTCTATAAAGGGTCATTAAACCTGTGCTTTGGGCTTTGAGCCAGTGGATTTTGTACTTTGAGCCTGGTGGAAGAGTGGAAGCAGATTTCCAGGGTCTGCTCTGGTGTTCCTGTATCTGTACCTGGCTCTGGCTTGCTGAGGGGGCAGTGGAGCTGGGCAGGCTGTGTCTGACCCAGGACTGCAGCTTTGTGTCCTCAAGTCTAGCCAGGTAAAATGCTCTCCTCACCTGGGGTGTGTTGGTTTCATGTGATACATGCAGGAAAAAATTGTGCTTAATTACTGTTAGGCTGCTTTCCTGTCCCTGAGAGAAAGAATGTGTTTTCACAGGTATGTAAGTTATAGAATCTCTGAATGGACTGGGCTGGAAGGGACCTTAAAGATCACCCAC